TCTCTCACTGTGTCTCTCTCTGTCAAATAAATAAAATCTTTAAAAAAAAAAAAAAGACTATAATTGTTATACCTGGTGTAAGTCTACCAGATGTTTGTCAGTGGTGACTTTAGTGGTTGTTTTTAGGTATGTGACCTTGGATATTTAACCTTTCTCAGCCTCACTTTTGTCACAGATGAAATGAAGAGGATAGTGAGACTATAGGGTTATTCTGAGTTTGGAATGAGGTAATCTTTGGTAAGCACATGGAACAATGCCTAGGCTGTGGTAAGCACTTTATATTAAATACATTCATAATCTATAAAAATGCACATATGTGTTTTACATATAACCATATTAACAACTCTAATTAAAATTCTTTAATCTGTTTAGGTAACAGAATTTACTGAGATAATATTGATTTTCATTTGCTTACTGGGAATTTTTCCATTTTAATAAAAGGAAATTGAAAAACCAGAGTCTTTAAACATATGGACTCTGAAAGGTATTAGGCTTAAAGTTCTTACTTAAATATGCATAGGTTTTAATATCTTCTACAATGTAAAAAAATGTTTGAAAGAATAAGACTAGGATGAAAAAAGCTTTGCTTTTGAGCATTTGAAGAACCCTAAACAGTCCTATTTGTTCAGTCGCTTGTGACTATTAGCTTCATAATATTCTGAAAAACAGAATTAGCTCATCAGCTTATCATAAACCTTATTGAATAAAAGATGCCCCAATTTAAAGACAAAGCTTCTTTCCGCCCTGCCTGCTCATTGTGTGAAAGCAGGATTAGCTCAAATATCTACTCATTCCTCTGCCCCCAACACCATTTTAAGATCTAAGGATGCTGGAGGAAGCAAGATACTCCAATTAAAGGACAAACCTAAGTTGAAGGCGAAACAATAGCAAATCATTAGAGATCCTTTTGAAAGGACAATGCTGCTATGAAAGTATGAGAAACTGTTTCAGGACACCTTTATTTGGAATGGACTACATTGGGAGAGTGGACTGAAGTAGAATACGTAGCTGAGAAGCTACTACAGAGGGGATATGGGACCCAGAACTAAATGTAGATAGAGTGGAATAAAGGTATTTCTAAGACTTGATGACAGATTATGTATCAAGGTCTGAGGAAAACATCAAAGATGCGTACAGTGTTGTATTCTTGACAGTTTGGGAAGAAAGGTATCATTAGCAATGGTGGTGGATGCCATTTTATTTTATTTTTTCCTGGAAAGAAGGGAATGAGTTAGCTACAAGATAAAGGTGTAATATGGTCTCAGATTACTCCCCGAAGCAATGATGAAAATGTATATGTTGCTAGGTGAGAGGTCTATTAGAGGGTCCAGAGAGGATACAGTATAAGTAGAATAATGACAATACGTACCATTAATTGAACACTCTCTGTTAGGCTTTTGCTAAGTGCCTGGTCTGTGTTATTTCATTAAGCCACTGCAATAAGCCTGTAAAGTAGGCATTCGTGTCACTACCATCCCCCACTTTGTTCCCCCAGATGAGTGAGTTGAGGCCGAGAGAGATTAAGGAACTTTCTTAAGGTCCCTCAGTTACTAAGTGACTGTCAAGACTACAAAACTGATTTTCTTAATCACCAGTTATTCTTTCTTGCTTCCTCCAGCATCCTTAGATCTTAAAATGGTGTTCAGGGTAGAGGAATGAGTAGATATTTGAGCTAATCCTGCTTTCACACAATGTCATTTCTAGCCATATTAACAACAACAATAAATTGGAGCAGAAACGTGTAGCTGTAAGAAAATTACTCTTAATTGTAAGAAAATGGTTCTCGTCATTGTTTAAATAAGCATAAACTAGGGGCGCCTGGGTGGCTCAGTCGTTAAGTGTCTGCCTTCGGCTCAGGTCATGATCCCAGGGTCCTGGGATCGAGCCCCGCAGCGGGCTCCCTGCTTGGCGGGAAGCCCGCTTCTGCCTCTCCCGCTCCCCCTGCTTGTGTTCCCTCTCTCGCTGTCTCTTGGTCAAATAAATAAATAAAATCTTAAAAATAAATAAATAAACAAGCATAAACTAGATTGTTCTTAGGTCAGATTTAAACCTTTCTATTTATGTAAATTGAAGTCCTTTTAGTTACAGTATCCTGGAGTTCCTTATGAATTAATTGAATACTGGCTTACTTAAAATTTTAATCTTGTCACTTCCTGTTACTGTATTTTTAGTGAAAGAATAAACATGCAGTCTACATATAACTAAAATAGCTTACACTAACAACTCTTTCTATAATACAGTAATCTGTTCTGGAACTTTAACATTGTCTGAGTGTAAAATTAGTTTGCTTTACTGGGAGCTTTCTCTTTTAATAAAAGAAGGTCAAGCTGAAGGAGTAAGGATTCTGAATGTGTGAAAGGAGAAGAAAGCATACAACAAATAAGAAATGGCCACATAGGGCTGTTGAACAGATTTGCTGTCCAAAGGGATCAGAAGGTTATAGAGCCAGCTGGTGGACAGGCCACACCTGCCATAACGGGCTTGTGGTGCAGTCGCCTCCACCACGATCATTAATGTTTGAGAAGATGATTATCGTAGCAAGGTAACAGCATAAAACATTCTTTTAGGAACTTAAAACCTATTTTTAGCATAGGAATCTTCTTATTAAAGTAGGTAAAATATTAAGCACTATGGTAAATACACCATTCATCAGATACTTTCTTAATAATTTAATCAGGCTAAGCATTTTAAAATGTGCAGTAATTACCTAAGCAGTATTGGCAGCTCCTAAGTTATGACTGAGCTTGGTCTAAGAGTCCCTTTGTTAGATGTTTGTCTGAGACTCAGAAAATGCTTTTGCTTGAAGAGCAGAATGTCATACTAGGCTGATGGGCTGTGATAGCCCTTCATCTTACAGCTCTGGAACCTGAGGTTTAAAGTGGGAAGTACCTTTCTCTGGCTTCACAGCCAGTAAGTAATTGAGCTGGGACTAAGATGACAAGTCAGCTGGTCATAGTGACTGGGGTCTTCTGGAATTTTATTTAGGTACGTTATGTAATAAAAGCCTTTTGTAGGTTTGTCTGAGAACCTAAGGAAAGCAATGGGCCAGAAGCCAGTTGTTTTTTTAGGACTGCGGAGAGAAGTAAAGGAGAAACTTCCTGTACAGCATCCAGCACAGAGGATTATACACGTAGTGAACGTTGGCTGACCGTCCTCTTTCCTTTGCTGTGCTGGTTTCTGTCGTTTTGTTCTCCTTATTGTCACTGCCTCAGAATTCACTTGAATTTATATTGCTCAGAGATCCTGGCAGTAGACCAGAAATCCCTGGGGAGGAAAAAGGAGCAATGGTCTACCTTAACTGAAAAGCCAGTTCACAAATTTTCATAAAAACCAAGTCCTCGTTGGGTGATATGAGAATTTTGCTTCAGGTAATGGAGTTCTGTCCCAGAACGTGTTAGGAAACATTTTATCCCTTATAAATGCAGGCTGTATGTAAACTTTGGATGCTTAATTTCTGATAGAAAATTTGAGGATAAGTGCATTATGATTCTTACTCTAATGGTTACAGGACCAGAATTCGAAATATTGCATGCATTCTTGTGATAGTGACTTATATAAATATTGTAAATGTTTTCAGAGTTATCACTCTTTCTCATGTATTTATAATCACTTTTATGTTACAAAATACTTTTTAGAAGTTCTGTTGACTATTTTTACTAAGGAAGAGTTACTGTTATTTTGTGAAATGTGTTATAATTCAGATGAAGATGAAATGTTGAAGTTGTCTCAGATTTACTTTGAAGGGAAGATATTTTGTAGAACCCACTTTTATGTAT